GAATGCAAAAGTTAAACTTCTGTAACATGAACATGAATTATATATTTCGAGGGTTATATATTGATAAGTAGATAGTACTTCACATCAGAATTACCGAATATCTGAACAATTAATAAATGTCATATTTATGTATAAAAGTTACAATAAAATGTGTTATAGAATTCCTTATCTATAATTCAAAGCGTTCAAATTTCAAAACTGCCCAAATGATTATGAACATTTCAATATGAAAGGAACAAAAGAGGACACAGAACGGATAAAGAAAGTCTACACAAAAAAATTCCTTCCATCTGAGTAGGAAGTGGAAATTAAAGCATATAACGCTTACAAATTAAACTATAAATATCGCTAAACTTTTTATAAACCACTGGACCATTTTTATTAACATATGCGTCTTGTTCTTCCGAGTCAATAAATAGTAGAATATCCCATTCAGAACTGAACGACCGCTTGTAGTAGTCTCACTAACTTTAACCACCGAAACTTCACGTTCGATCAGCAGTAAACACCCGAGATAACGACCCCAACTTATGTGTTTTATTACATTTGTTAACAACTTTCGCTCTCTGAGTGCAAAGCAAACCAATTGAACTCCAAAAACCTTGAGTTAAATTGTAAATAAGTTGATAAAAATGTAATATTTCGAATTTTTTGCATAATGCACAACCTATCAACAATCGGTGCCTAACTTTCATGACGTGAAACACGATTAAAAAATTTTGACGTATTTAACGGATTTAACTCAAATGTTTGCTCAAAGAAATTTGTGGGAATTCTGATATGGATGTGCTGTTTCTTCATTAAGAGACTTATAAATTGCCTACACAAGAATAACACATTCAACAGAAAGTAGTTTATTGGTTATTATTAATTAAATATCTCACTGCTTTTAGAATGGATATTCCAATTCACTAGTCTAACTTGGGTATGTCTTTCATGTCAACCTAAAAATCACCAATATTAAGAGAGTAATCGACTTTCAAATTCAAGATGAAAAAAGAAAAGAACTCATGTGTGACAATGAATTTTTACACCAAACAGGGTAGAAAGTATTACAGAGGTAAATATTAACTACAATTGGTCACTAAAGATCAGTGAAATTTCAAGATGTTCTGAAATTGAAAGAGTGAAAAACTTTATCAAAAAATGATACAATCAAAATGAATATAGATGACAACAGAGATGATAAGATGACTATCATTCATCACTTAACATGCAATTGTAAACGAATATTTTTTTTAATAATAGTCTTATTTGTAACACGCTAGAAAGAAAGGAAAGGAGTATCTTTCAATCGACCGTATTCAACATACACGCCGGGTATTCAAGAGATATCAATAAAAATATCATCTATAATATTGACATTTTAAGTGAATAATAAGACATGCAGAGATTTGTGCAGTACCTCCTGGTACTGTTCATTTCCAATGGAAAGAAAATTACTTTGAATTTTTAAAGTCGTATTGAGATTTTCTTCTTTATTTTGCTACCAAGAAATATGAATTTGGATAATAACCAATGAGAATAGATTTATTACCCATTAATGTACATGCGTATGTATACACAATTGCATTGTCTGTTGGTACTGTGAGGAAATGAAGAGAAAATAAATATAAAAAAGAAATAATAAATTGTTGAGGGACGCGCTACATTTTATGAGTGTTTTTAATCTGATTATTAAATCGACAAACTAGACTAAAACCTATCTCTACCTTTCAGAGGGTGAAGAATTTAATCATACGTAACATATATGTTCTTGTAAAAGGCGTCAAAGAAAAAATTTTAAAAAAAATTGATGTTTGTTGTGTCAACTAAGAATGAAGTTTTCAACCGTTTCCAAATGTATTTTTTTCGCTACTCATCTTTACGTATTTTAGATTCCAATTCTCTAATTTCGAATTTCAATAATGGTAATAATTCATAAAATCGAACACAAATTTACACATCTGAGACTCTCTTCTATATCAACGGACGCACCTGGAGCCTACTAACACAATTGGCTTCTGCTGATTCGTTTTAATGTCCAAGCTCCAAGCTTTCCAACTACGATCACCTGATAATATAACAGCTATTTCCCACGTTTCACGGCCACGCGCCGGCAATAGCTGGTCTTTAAGCGCAACTGGGACGGCAGCAAGCGGCAAGCAACGAGGAATCCAGTTTGTTCTTCTCCCCAGCCGCGTAAACGAGTAACAGTCGCCGTAAATAATGTCCAACCCTGCTTCATATCGATCGCAACAGACCCGTCACGACCACGTACCATAGACCTCACACAAGCAAAACTGTTTCACCTGGGAAAGCGTGCAATGGCACACTCGTTCTCCCGACTCTAGAGAGGTTGTTCGGGAGACCATCACATTTCAAATATCAAAGACAGAAGAAAAATAGACCAAGAAAAATATCTTTTGATGTGTTTCCCAAATCACCTCTCAGAGAAACCCACACTAGACGTTCCACTGCTTTTATCAATGTTCTAGCACCTTTCAAAAATCAAAGAATGCAAAGAGAGTAAAGAAAAAATATGTAGAAAGAATCGTGGGATGTTCCTTTATAAGACAATACCTGAAAGGGCACTAGTTATTCTATTAACATTACAAAAATGATATAAAGTGTTTGATTCATGTGTAATCCGCGTGTCCCTTTCCTACCTCTTTAAAAACGCACGAAAGAAATACGAAAATTTTAAATAATAACAACAATGACAAAATACTTATAGGAATCGCGTGTTTGAAAATTACGTAGTGCGTGATATGACAGTAGACGGTATGACCACTTGACCACTCTACATCTTTCAAAAAGGAAAAAAAAAGTACCGTAGTAAAGAATTAGGAAATATACACACATTACTAAAATTTGTTCGGCAATGCAAGGTACCAATAACAGTTCTCTGAAATTGAGTTGGCTCGTTGTTGTTTTTTTTTAATTTGTTTTCTCCACGCCTACCTCCCCCCACTAATTTAAACTGCTCCGCTACTTATTGATTGTAAAGTACCCCTCTCATCTTATTCGGAATGCACACCGAATAGACGAAAAAAAGGTCGATTTAGTCCCTAATTACGTGACGAATCATCCCATGAGGTTGTTCCGCAAACTTCACAAATGTTTTAATACAACTAAAAAAACATTCAGAATATTCTTCGTGAACTTTGGTCAAAAAGGTCAATATAATTGGACAAATTATATAAATAAAAAATTATAAAAATTCTTATATAAATAAAAAATTATAAAAAATTCTTATATAAATAAAAAATATAAAAAAATCTTATATAAATAAAAATTATAAAAAAATCTTATATAAATAAAAAATTATAAAAAATTCTTAAAATAAATGATTGGACAAAATATACAATATTTATTTCAAAAAAATAGACCAAAAAAGTGAAAAGATTTAGTGAATCAGTGAATTACATAACATATGAGTGGAGGATGATTGAACATATAAATTGTGTGCATTGCTTTAAGTGAAGTGCCTCTTTTCTCACTTCGTTCTGTTTTGTACAGTGTCGTCCCTAACAAGTTCCACTCCCACCCTCTCAGCAGCGCCGTCGACAGCGTGCATTGCGGCACAAGAGCAACAGCCGCGCCAACGACTGCCGCCCTACGCCCACGTACGCGGGCGTGTGCGTGAACGTGGCGTCGACGGGTCGATACGCGCACGCACGCACGCTCCCTGATTGAACGCTGATTCACCGCGCGAGGGGGGAGGGCGACTATTGCGAGGGTGGAGGGCCCAGCTGCATGCTCGCACCCCCGCTGAGAGAAGGGGAAGACCACCCCCCTCCGGAAGACCTACGACGCGGGGGCGGGCGAGGTAAAAGCTCCCCAGACGATAGGCGAAGGGCCCCGACACACAGCCCCGGACATCACGGTCCTCAATGCGAATACAATCCGTTGAGGACCATCGGAAAACAACACCTTTTGAAAAGTGGCACATGCATTCGTCAGATGCGCTACGGGGGTCATCCGCACCCCCAGCCAACATTTTTCGTATTTTTACTCAATTTATTCAAAATAATTACCATACGTAGGTCTCATCACAGCCAATGTAGTGTTCGCATTATCAATATACTCGTGCTTTTACATTTCACGCAAACAAAAAAAAATTAACTAAAATATATTTACGGGGGTCAAAACATAAATTGACCCCCCCCCCCGGGGTTCTTTCTGTATCCGCTAGTGCTTACGGTGGTGCAGTATCACTCCGGTTGGCGCGGTTATCGCAAGAGGTGCCACAAGCGTGAACGAAGTGTGAAGAGCGGTTTCACAAACGCCCGACTATTCACGCGGGATGGAGAAGTGGAAGAAGGGTCAACGGCTGGTACGGCTAATAACAAGCGACGCTGTGGAAAAGGACAAACTGGCAGACGCAGAACCCGATGACGTCATTCCATTTGTCAGCGGTCCAGTGGACGAGGCCGAGTCGACGGAAGGGGTGGCTTGCAATTTCACCCGCAGGCCACGCCTGGCCGAGGGTGGGGGGTTGGGCAGTCCTGTGGTCTTTTGCGGCGCGTGGCGGTTTCAGCAACCCTTATTTCTGGGGCCAAACAAGGGCGACACAGTAATTGAAGTCATTGATTCACGAACAATTAATTTTCTAAAGAAAATAGCATGGAGGTATTAAGCAATCTCTCTGAAATCGACGTCCGAAGGCAGCCAAATAATCCGGAAGGTTGGCACGGAAATGTCAATTTTTCTCTTGTCACATGTATTGATCCACAAATTGATGTGAATGACAAGTGAAAATAAATTCCACAATTCCACAACTGTGTTCTTTATATACGAATATAAATCAGAAACACTACAAAAATCACAATGACACATTGCCATTCACATCTAAAATACTGAGTCAATTTGCTTCATTACAGACACGAACCAAGCACTGAGACAGGTTTCATAACAAACTGGAACAAACACTTCCATGGCACGCACTATCATCCGTGGATATCACGGCCGCGGCCCACTGCGCGTGGCCTGCGGGGGTGGCCAGGGCGCGCACTCACCTCGTGTTCCGGACCGGTGAGACAAAATCGCGCCCGCGCTGAGGGGCGTGGAGTGCCGTGCGCGGCGGGGCGGGGCGGACCGGGATGGCCGCAGGAGGCGGCTGAGGAGCAGCAGTCGGTCGTTTCTCGTACGGAGGAGCTCTCGCCGCGATGCGCGCGCGGAACTCTCTGCCCGCCCGCCGCCGCCGCGCCGGGCCGTTCGGCTCGCCTCGGCTCGCGGCGAGGGGGAGGGAGCGGGAGGCGGGAGCGGGGGGAGCGGCCGCCCCAGCCGCGCAACTCAGCGCAGCGCTGGCCCGTGCCAAGCGCCTGCCGCACACCGCACCGCACCGCACCGCACCGCGCCGCGCCGCGCCGCAGCACCAGCTGCCGCCGACGACGACGCCGCGGGCGCGCGCACGCGACGCAAGCGGCCCCTAGCGCCGCACAGCGCAGGCGCCGCTTGCATAGTGATTACTTTTGCCGCCGGATGGCGCCCCATGAGAAATGTAGTGCCACGGCATGACCGCTAGGTAGCGGCAATGTCTAGAGGCACAGCAGTCGTCAATAACCAAATGGTCAACACAAGTTGATTAAGGGGGTTGGGGTGCAACATTCTTTTTGTAATTTTACTTTATTGAAAACATTTATCCCTGACGGTATGGCATCCATTGGAGAATTACAATTTTGAATGTAAATGATGTTTATTGTTTAATCAAGTTAACATTTGTTTTTATTATTTCAAAAATATTTATTGTCAGGTGAAGCGACGCCGCACTGAAATTGTCCCCCTCCTCGGAAATAGTTTTGGAGGAACCCAACCTGCTATCAGAAATCGGTGAATTAGAAGCAGCGATACTACATATCCCTATTTTTAGATTAGAGTTCATTATCGTGTTTGCAATACGGAAGCTAAGGCTGTGATCATCCATTACCACGGCCATGTCCCCTCCCTGGCTATGATGATCACCAGATGCTCAAATTCTAATGGACGCCCGCTGCCCACTGTCGGCAATGCAACTCGTTGCGTGCTCTTTTGCTGTCTGTCATTGGATAGTGTGTGTGATTGCCAACAGATGGTGTTAATCGCATGGAATGGCGGTCAGGATGAATTTGTTGTCCGGAAATATCTAAAGATGATGGAAGTAATTCTATGGTTATTGGCTATCATGCACACTATTTAAGGGAACGAGCTATTTAACACGAATACCAGTTTTCGCAGGGGCACTGCTCTAAATGCATAAATGACAAGTTCGCTGGAGCCTTCCTACGTAACCAACTTCAGTAGGTATTGATAGCTATGAAGTTCAAACATTTTATAAAAAAGGCGTGAAAAATGACTTTTTATCTAACATTTATAAAAACATTAATTATAAAAATTTAATTAAGCTTGAAACTAAAATTTATTTAAACTTGCATTAATAATAAAAAAGAATTATTATTTCTTAAATAAACCTTTTGTATCAATTAAATACTTTGTGCTTTAGGTATGATTAAATGTAATTTACTTTTCAATTCGTGATCATTTTTTATGTATAATACTTTAACACATCAACTGCAAACTCAATTTTTATTACAAATTTTCAAATATATATATACTTTTTCACTCAACTTTTCGACCAGCGTCATTGAGGTTAAGCATGACCTTATATCTTGCTACTTGAATAGTTTAATATCTATCTTTGGCTTTTGAAGTCAGACCCTAGTCCATACGGGCTCTCAAAAAAGCGAGGAAAAGTAGTGGAATCGCCTCAATAATACGATCTCAAATTCGTATTAAAATATTTTTTATTAAACATTTTTTTAAACTGTCATGTTGAGTTTGAGGTACACTCACTTCAGAATTAAGTACTTCTAGTGCTGCTCGCAGTATGTTAGAGATTGTTGCAGTTAGGGCAGAGATACACAGAATTTCCTACTCGAAAACTGGCGTGTCTATCTTGCTGACTCTCTATGGTGACTATAGCTGTGACCTTTGAGAAATCATTAAGGCATTTAAATTTTTGGAAGTACATTACGTGAAAATTTCTGGAAAATTACTTAATTTTTTCTTCATTTTTTGCATGAATAGAATAAAGAGTAGTTAGAAATATGCTTTAGTTCCGATTTCAAAGCTCTCAAATTTTGTAAATTGCAAAAGTTTAAATTTATTTTCGACCCTGTTCTATAGCTCTAACTGTATAGTCAGATATGTCTTCCTCATTGAAATTTGTCGACGCATTTTCGATCTTTAAATGATGTCAAGTTGTTAAACTATTGGTGCAACAGAATGACACAGACTTTCTCCCGGTAGTTTCCTATTCTCTTCGGAGAAAGAAACCGGAGCATCTTCAAGTTCCTACTGTTTTTCTGAGTTGTGGTGAAGAGCATCTTCGCCCACCTCCAACATCGCATAGACCTATCACGGCCGTACACATTTACTTATTTGCCCATGATATTACTTGGCCTCCCCTCGGTACCTTTACCATAACACTGGGGGGGGGGGATCCAGTTCGTCTATTAAAAATTCAGATTGCATAATGTAGCCTATCACGTATAAAGATTAGGGAAGCATTGTGGTATAGATGTAATACACAGGGATTCGACACGCCTCAAACACAACTGAAAGCATTGATGTTTAACTTAGGTTTGGAACCCACATATTTGGGTTTGTGGCCTTTGGCACATCCAGTCCTTTGTCCTAAGCCACGTCATGAGGCCGAATGACTTGAGCCTACTAGTAATTGTAAACGTGTTACAGCTTTGTAATGTAATAAAGTGATGAAAATCACAATATAAGTAACTCTTACCTCTCTTTGCATTCGAGGCCTTTAATGTGCTTTGTAATATTGAATCTATGTACCCTGAAGGGTTTTGAAACAAACTGGACTGTGGCTGTCACTGGACTTTGACTGCACTATATTGTACTGTCAGTCACAGATCCTACACAAAATGCAAATTGACGCCGAGTTAAGTCCCACGTGTTAATACTTGCACGTGCATGATACTTGAAGACACTGAAGATGGGTAAATAACTCCCGATACAAGGGTATGGATCTTTATTCTTAATATTAAATTTATATTGTAATATACTTTGTGGCTGATATTTTCTCAATCCTTAATTAATAATCATTATGGATTATCACAATATTTCTGATGCTATCACGAAAAAGGGAAATGAGAAACTGAGATTAAAATGTTGAATGACTAATATAATGTAACATTTAAATTATCAAGGACATCGTTATACACTCCAGAACTATTGCATACACACGTACACGTATGTTAAGAATGCTTCACTGTTACGGTGTTCACTTCACGGTTTTGTGTTATCCTATTCCAGTATTAGATTGAAATGCCTGACATTTTAGAAGTAAACGCGAAAAGGATAAGGAAAAAAAATAAATTTTTAGTGAAAACAGTTTATTCTTATTCAAGTTTGTATAATAAATCTAAAATATCTTGATTTCACACGTAAGACTTGTCAAGAGAAGATGTAGTGAGTATAAATAGAACAGGTAAATACCTTAAATAGTGTATACAGGATTTCTACAAGTACTCCTTA